AACTTGGGCCGTCGTCATAGAGGTACCTGAGGGGACACTGTCACAGAAAGGTCTGGGTGCCACCCACCAATCTTCTTCTGTCACAGGAGTATCTGGACCTGTCCATGCCGCTGGACCAGTACTCGCCCAGCTTTCCCGACACACGAAGCTCTACCTGCTCTTCAGGGGAGGACTCTGTCTTCTCTCATGAGCCGTTACCCGAGGAGCCCTGTCTGCCCCGACACCCTACCCAGCTTGCCAATGGTGGACTCAAACGACGCTGACTATCAACCGTCCCCAGCCTTCCCCCATTATGTCATCACCTGTGTCCCTCACCCACAATTCCCTGGACACACTGCCTTTTCTCCTCCTCCTTTGTGGCTGGCAAGAGCCAGTGCCTGACTGAGGCCTTCCTGTGTGGCCTACCCCTCCATCACCCCCAAGACCCTTCTTCCTCTTCTTAGCCTGCTGTGTGAGAGAGGAGCCAAGAGGCAGGTACTTGCTGGTGGCCACTTCCTCCTTCCCAGGTGTTGGACCAAGACCCACCCTGCTGCCTGGCACTACTTGGATATCTGCGGGGTAGAAGCAAGTGGAACAGGCGTGAAAGCAAGCGAGAGCTTCCTGAGTGTTCTTGTTAACCCATCAGCCCCTTGTGTTCTGGTGGCAGGGGCCTTGGGGCTCCTGAAGCAGTGAGGTTTCTGTTTAGGCCTTAACTGAAGGCAACCTCTGCTCCAGATGGATGGTACCAGTAGCTTCTTAATTCCAATACTAATTTGCTTTGCTGACCAAATACCTGGTACCAGAAGACAGGGAGGCGGAGATCGGGAGCAATGTGCCCTTGGGCTGAGCCCTAGACTTGGGGCTCTGTACATAGCTATGAAGAAAACACAAAGTGTATAAATCTGAGTATATATTTACATGTCTTTTTAAAAGGGTCGTTACTAGAGATTTACCCATCGGGTGAGATGCTCCTGGTGGCCGGGAGGCATCAGTTGCTATATATTAAAAACAAACAAAAAGAAAAAAAAAAGGAAAATGTTTTTTTAAAAGGTCATATATTTTTTGCTACTTTTGCTGTTTTATTTTTTTAAATTATGTTTTAAACCTATTTTCAGTTTAGGTCCCTCAATAAAAATTGCTGCTGCTTCATTTTTATCCTGGGCGTGTGGAGAGGGAGCAGATGTCCCCTTGCAAAGGAGGGAATCAGGGACTAAAGGGCCATGAGCTGGTATTTACCCCCACCCCCACCCCCACCCCAGTGACCTCTGTCTCCAAGATTGTGCCTGAGACCTCCCAGACAAGCCTTCTGTCTCTGATGCTTTGGGAAAGGCAGGGTAAGAAGTCTGAGGTCCTGAGGGCAAGAGAGCCAAACCCACACACTTGATTGTTTCCTCAGAGGCGAGGATTGAGAGGATGAGACTAGCCCACGGGTAGAACAGAAACTCAAACCCTAGACCCTGGGTGGGTGCCTATATGCATGTGAGGGAAAATTTGTCACCCAGAGCTCACTGTACATTCAGATGTCTTGTCTGTCTTCCCCAACCTACTCTTCATTTTCCTCTCCTGTAAATATCCCCCCCTTCCCAAGTCTCTGTTGCTCAGATGGGTCTGTTCCTGATATTGGTTTCCTATAGTTTTTTTTTTTTCTCCTTTACAAACTCCACCCATCCCTCAGCAAAGAGAGAACAATCTCTTGGTTTGGCTTGGCAACTCACTTCTGCCACCTGCTGGTTGTTAGTGGTACCTTGGTATCTTATTCAAACCTGCCCACTCTAGCCTTCGAGGGTGTTTTTGTTTTTTGTTTGCTTGTGTTTCTGGGTCTCTGCTGAATACAAAACGGTACAATATGACTTCATCTGTAGAAGTTAGGACTGCTTCTTTAAACACGGCTTTGGCAGCTGTGGTTTTGGTCATCGTCATGGAGTTCTTATCGTGTTTCTCTGTGTGCACATGTAACTGTCAAAATATTATGAATGCCGAAAGAAGCCATCATTTGTGAGAGAGGTCCAGGGAATGAATTTTAGCACAAATTCATTTTCTTGGAGACCGTATCATAGTGTTTTTCTTTTTTCTTGTTAAAATAGTGAACATCATTTCTGCCTCAGGTCTACTTGGCTTACTGTTGTGACGGAAGGAGAACACAGAAAGGGCTTTGTGTGACTCGAGGAGAGGCGCTAGGAACTAGAAGGGACTGGAATCCTGCTGTTACTATTCAAACTGCCCACAGATATCCCCAGGGACAGGGATAGCTATCAAATAAAAAGTAGTGAAATTGACATAGAGGGAAATGAAATGGCTATCTCACTTAGAGGACCAGCGTGGGTCTCGTGGGAAGGAGAACCCAGCTCATGGAATGAAGATGTGCTGTCAGAGCACAGCCTCTGTCTGGTTTCCTGGGGATTCAAAGATGGCCAAGGCATCAGTCAATACCGCTTTCTCATCTTTTCTAATTGCCATGGGTTAGAGATCATCAGTCCCTTGGCTCTGTTAATGTCATTTATTGATTTCAGGTAAGTAAGATTGAACATAGATGAAGTAAGAAATCGGCCTTAATGGTAAATGAACTCTGTTTATCAGCTGCCACTGGGTGGAGCCAGCAAGCTAAAATACACATGCGCGCCCGCGCACGCACACACATACACATACGCACACACAGAGTGTTAGGTAATACTCTCAGAGCTAGTTTTCTCTGAAGTAACAGACCTACCTGCAGGAGGGAACTTTTGGCCTGAGTGTAGCATTGTAAAACTCTGGACATTAACAATACGTCTTGTACAGAATTAGACCTGGCACAAGTGCAGAGCCATACATACTATTAAGTAGCAGCAGCAACTATTGTCATCGTAGAAGTCGGTGTAAAGTGTGAGTGCACCTAATGTCACTCCAGGTGCATGTCAGAGAGAGCTTACAGTGGTACCCAGCGAGCCTGTTGGCAGCTGGTGGAACCAAGCTCCACCATCTGCAAGAGAGTAGAGAGCTGCGAGGGAGGAGAGAGGCCTTTGAAGCAACATGGCATGGCCTTGCATCCCCTTAGCTTGTAGAAACCAAGGCGGGAGTAGATCAGCAAGAACCCTGAAGTTGGCTGATCCTGATGGTGAATGCCCTTCATCCCAGCACTCAGAAGGCAGGGGCCTGCAGATCTTGAGTTCATGGACAACCTGGTCTACGTTGGGAGTTCAAGGCCTGCTAGAGATGCACAGTTAGACTCTTGTCTCAAAGGAAATTAAACAAACAAGAACACTGACGTTCTGAAGGACTCTGAAACAGGTCCCCTGTTACTTGACACATGACAGCATTCAGAATCTTTACTGTGCTGCCTCCCGGACCTGCATGTCCTAGTACATAAAAGTGCTGCATTCAGTTGCCATGCTGTCGGAGGTTCCAGTGGTGTGCCGGAACAGGCTCTCTGGAGCCAATTATGTGCTTCTTGCATTGAAGTCATCCATGGAGGGGCATCTCCAAGCTTGGGACCCACAACTGTGCTTACTAGCCATTGGCCAGAACACTACCAGTGAGGTTTCAGTCTGGGGTCATGGCTAAGTACCCCCAAATTTGAAAACACTGACATCACCTTTAATCCCAGAACTCAGGAGGCAGAAGCCAGTGGATCTCTTAAATTCAAGGCCAGCCTAGTCTACATATTGAGTTCTAGGTCAACCGAGATTGCAGTGAGACCCTGTCTCTGAAAAGGAAAATGGGGTGTGTCTGTACAGATAGAGCCATCAATGACCAGGCTCCTTGACTTAACTTTCTATTTGCCCATTGAGAAGGCCAGAAGGAATCCATAGGGCAGCCACACAAGTCAGGGAGATGAAAGAGGATTAAGCCAGTTAACTAGCTAAGCCCTTCCCATATTACACACCTATAATATAAACTAAGTTCAAAAATTCACCTCTTCAAAAGGGAAGTTTTACTGTGTAGCATCCCAGAATGATGTATGAACATAGCCTACAGAAATCAGTTGATTGGCACACAGGGTGGGTCTTGTCCTCCATGACAAGGGGGCATTTTGAGGCATGTGTTCTGGGCTGGGTTGTGGTTCTTTGCTGGCATATGAGACTAAGCATGAGACTAAGGAGTTCGTTGGCTGTGTGGTAGTGGCACACACCTTTAAACCCAGCACTCCATGAGTTCAAGGCCTGGGAACTAGATGGGGATGTCTGTCTGTCTTGTTTGTTCTTGAGATAGGGTCTCATTATGTAGCTCTGGCTGTCCTGGAACTCACTTTGTTGACCAGGGTGGACTCCAACAAAGAGCCACCAGCTTCTCCTTCCAGAGTGCTTGAATTAAAAGTATGTGCCACCACAGTCTGGCTAGCTAACTTTTTTATGAATGTAACTGTTTTGTTTGTACGTGTGTGTGTACCATGCCTGGTACCTGAAGTTCAGATGAAGGTGCTGGATTCTGTAGTACTGGAGTTAGAAATTGGTTGTGGCTACTGTGTAGGTGCTGGGAACCGAACACTGACCGTCTGCAGGATTTAGTGGTTAATGACTCAACAATCCCTCCAGCATCACTGTCTGTTTTACCTTCCCACTTCTCTAAGAAGTTCTTTCTGCCTTACTGGGAAGTATGTCCATCCTGGCCCATGGGTGCTTATGTTGCTGTTCTACTGAGGAGCCCCTCTGCAAAGGCTGGTCAGGTGGTCCTAAAGGTGGTTTGGGGAGTCCCCCGTGTTCTGACTACAGATTCTAAGCCACAAGAGGCAGAGAGAGGTATCCAAGGTACCAAGCTGACTCCATTGTGCAATACATTTCCTCTTAAAAGGTCCACATCCAATTGGCCCTGGTAACATACGTCTATATATTCCTAGCAACTTGGGAGATTAAGGGAGGGGACAGAAAATTCAAAGGTAGCCTGGGCAATTTCAATCTTACCTTGAAATTTATATAAAGTAAAAGGGCAGGGGGTACAGTTCAGCGAGTGTGCTTGCCTAGAAACTACGCCCTCCGCCCAGCTCAGTCCCCAGCACTGTCCCCTTCCCCAAGTGCACGCAAGCAGGAAGCCATTCAGGCACAGCATGGTGGGAGTGGCTTTATGCAACGTTTGCTAAGATGACAAGATCATACAGTAGAGATAGGCTGTAATTAAGCTTCTCCAAATGGCCTGAGCTTGGTGTCACTGCTCGAATCTCTGGAATGGTCACGAGGCCTCCGACGACGTAATGGCTGGTCCTTTATCTCAAGCCAGACAGTCTTAGCTAGAATTCCTTCGTGGATGGACGCCACTGCTGAGGGGCAGTGCCTGGAGAGAGGGAGCTATATCTTCAGGAGATCCTTAGGCTCCTTTTGAATTAGCCTTGCTGTTCTGTGAGGTCTCCTGGGATTTGGCCTGGAGGATCTGGGTATAAAACAGGACTTTAGGCTTTGGTCACAAGTAGCTTAAATTCTGCGAGCATCCACTTTGACCTTCTTATCCAAACTAATGGCCACAAGCCATGTTCGACGTGTGTGTCATGCCCGTGCTCTCCACCTGACTGTCTGTAATCCCTGCCCCGAGGCTGGTGAGGTAGACCTGGCCTAAGTTCCAGGAAAGCCTGAACTGCGTTCAGTGTGAACGTCCTCAACCCTCCCCAAAGAAGCGCAGAGAGACAGTGGCCATGAGATGATACTGGTGTGATTGCTTTGGTGATAAGCATGGGGTCCTCTGAACGCCAGCCCAGCCACAGGCTCACAGACTGGCCTACGGTGGACTGTCAGACGCAGTTCACCTCTCCCCAGCCGCCCACTTCTGTTTGCTTGTCATGCTTTCTGACCTCCCCCAAATTACCTGGCCCAAATGGGAGAAGTGGGCACAGAAATTTCCTATTTACATGTATTTTTCTAAAACTTTAATTGCTTTCCTGCTTCTATTTCCTGACATCAGAAGCCTGTGTAAACTACATAACATGTGGGAACTATTTGCATTTAGCACTTAAAACTAAGGCTCTGCCTATAGTGTAATTAGCTTCTAGACGTTCATGCTTAGGTTGCTCCACCAGGGCGCTGGCTTTTCCCTCTACTTTTGGACAGTTGAAGGGGAAAGGTAGCGCTTATGAGAAGGCTGGAGTCCAGCCTACATTCCTGTCTGGATGGCAGCAGGAATGATGTCATGGTTTGTGGTACGCATGGTACTGCAGCTCCAATGCCCTTCCAGATAACCGGGGAGGTTTCTCTGTAGGTTACTTACTGCTTCTTTGGAAATAGTTGCTGCTGGTGTTATGAGTGATGATGGTACTGGGGGCAGTTGTATAAATTCTTCATCCTTAAACATTAGAACTGAGAGATTAGTGATTTAAGCCAGTGCATACTCTGATCTACCATGAATACCAGGAACTTGTAACTATTATATTATGTAGGTTTTGAAAGACAAAAACCTGAAAATTACATGTAATCAAATGTTGACTTGAAACATTGTCTTTGGCAGTACTGGGAAGGAAACCATGGTTTCATGTTTTCCACAAGCCTTTACCAGGGAGCTACAAACCCAGTCTGTATGTTAAACTTTCTTAGAAACAGAAAATTAAGCAGTGTAATAGATGTTCTTTATTACCAAGTAGAACTGCATTGGACACAATGAATTCTGTTTCATTGGAAGGATTAGAGATGCAGAGAATTGGCTGGGTGTGTGCACCTGTCATCTCAATCCTAGAGAGGCTGAGGCAAGGGATCCGAGCCGGAAGCCAGCCTGAGCTGCACTGTCAGCTCATTTCAAGGAAAAGAAAATTAACACTGAGAAAAAAATTCCACTTTAATCAACTAGAGAGTAACTAACCTTCGTTCCCTTTAGCTGAGGTGCAGGGTCTGTAATGTTCTCCTTTGACTCAGGGGTCGGAGATGACGGTATCCCAAGGTTTGACTGTGGAGTCTGGGGAAACATCATGCAGTTGTAAACTGTCCTACTCAGAAACCTTTGTAGAGGAGTATGTGCCTTAACCTTTAAGCAGTCTGCCTCTCTCTGTCTGTGGGGTATGTGTGGGGGCTGTGAAGGGTGTGTCTGTGTGTCTGTGTGTGCACACAGTATGTGTATGGACAGGGTCTCAGCGTGTAGATCTAGCTGGCCTAGAGCTGACCTCTGCTGGGATTAAAGTTGTGTGCCTGGCTATCTCTTTCTCTATTTTGTTGTTTTCAAGTGAATTTCAATGTGAAGATTGTCCTGGAACTCACTATGTAGACAAGACTAGTCTTGAACTTGTAGAGATCCACCTGCCTCTACCTCCCAAGTGCTGGGATCAAAGGTGTGTACCACTATGCCTGGTAGAGTTTCTTGAGTTACATGAAATATGCTCCTACAAGTTAGTATTTGAATACTGAGCATATACAAAAGTTGCATAGTATTTATATTCTAGGATTTAAAATATATAGTTCTAGGTCATTGAGCACTACATAGTAAGACGTTGTCTTAAAACAAACAAACAAAAACAGGCAGAGCAGCCCATGCCTTTAATCCTAGCATCCAGGAGGTACAGTCAAGGGGATCTCTGTGAGTTCAAGACCAGCTTGGTTTACACAGTGAGATCCAGGCTAATTAGGGATTCATAGTAAGGTACAAACCAAATAAACTAAACCCAAAACCACAAAACAATTTGGCAATTCTGGTGTCGGTCCCAGTCATAAAAAAAAATAAAGCTGCCAGCGGTGGAGCACCACCGCTTAATCTCAGCATTTGTGAGGTAGGGGCAGGCAGAGCTCTGATTTTGAGGCCAGCCTGGTCTATAGAGCTAGTTCCAGGATAGCAAGGGCTACACAGAGAAATTCTGTTTTGAAAAAACAACAACAAAAAACTACAGGTAAAAAAAAAAAAATACCATTTAATGAGTTGAAAAAAGTTAACATTCTAAGTTAGTCCTTATTTGCTTTATCATTTATATAAATGTGAACAAATGAGATTGGAACGGAAAGGAGCCATTAGCTTAAAAGGAGACAGGTACAGGGGTTGCTATGAGGAGTACTAGAAGCCAGCTAACCTACATTCCCAAAGTAGTGTCTGCGCTGATAGAAGACACAGGTGGAGAGGCCTGGGCTGGTCGGGTCCAGGCTCTGTCTGCACCGGTGCACTTACCTCTATACTTGGTGGGAGTTGAATGGGCTTTGGCTTCACGTCTATCAGGTAGAAGGTACGAGACAGGAGCAAAAGAGAAGGAGGGACGTTCTCCTTCAAGTGGAGGTCCAGCCACTAGAGAACGGGAGGTAACAAGACATGGCGTTATAACTGCTATAGCTAGAGAGGACCTGTGGCACAGGATGAAAAAACACCAGCCTCCTGGCTCCCACCCGTGGGTGAGTCCCCAGCAACTGCTTGCACTGGTCACTGAAGCTCCCCACCCAGTTCTGGATCCAAATAGCTAAGTGTCTTCTCTTAGCAAAAACAGATGGTCAGAAAGGATAACCCAGAAGCCAGGCCTGTGATCCAGAGTTGGGAGTTGGAGGCAGGATGTCGAGTTCAAGGCCAGCCTGAGCTACATAATAAGAAGCTGTCTCAAAATAAAAACAGCCTTCTTAAGCAAAGAAGTCAGCATCAGAATGAAGGTGTGATCAGAGTATTAAAGCACCACATTGGCCACGTTTCTTGTCTGTTGTTGTGTTTACTTTAATTTTGCTATATAGCCCAGGTCTCTCACCTGTGATCCTCTTGTCCCAAGGCTCCTAACTGCTTGGATTGCAGGCACGGACCACTATGTCACAACTGTTCTGTAAATGTTATGTAATGAGTGACACATATCGTTTTGTTCTTTGCTTGTATATGTGTGTGTGTGTGGGGGGGAACATAAGTATGGGTCTGAGTGAAGGTCAGAGGGACACCTTTGAAAAGGGATTCTCTCTCCCACTGTCTGGTCTAGAAACTAAACTCAGGTGTCAGGCTTTTGCAGCAAGTGCCATCTTGCCAGCCTTTGTCCTTTGCTTTTTTATCCCCATTGAAACAGAATCATGTCAGTAGATGTAGTACTACCCCCTTAAATAGCTGGATATGTTCCCATCATATAAAAATGCCATAGTGCCAGCGCTCAGGAAATGGAGACAGTAGATCTCTGAGCTCAAGGGCAGCTTGGGTTACATAATGAGTTCTAGCCAGGCAGGGTGACATAGTTAGAGCCTGTCTTTAAACAAACAGAAGAGAAGAGAATTTAGGATAGGGGCAGCAGAGGTGGCTCAGTGGTTAGGTGTCTGTACTGCTTCAGGCTCTACTGCACACCGGACTACAGTCAGTCCCAGCACCCACACCAGGCAGCTCACAGCGGACTCTGACTACAGCTCCAGGGACCAACAGAAGCTTCTGGCTGCCATGTCTTCTGTTGTTTTTCAGGACAGGGTCTCGTGTCCTCTAGGACCCAGGCTGGTTGGTGTTTCTCAAACCTCAGCTTCCTGACTGCTAGGATTAGAGGTATCAGTACCAAGGCAGGCAGTATATGTGTTTTTATATTTTGAAAGATGAGGTGGTTTGTCCTCATGGTTTTACTTTTCAGCTAGCAACGCTATCCAATCTCTAACAAAGCCTGAACTAGCCAGGCAGTGGTGGCGCACACCTTTAATCCCAGCACTTGACAGGCAGAGGCAGGAGGATTTCTGAGTTTGAGGCCAGCCTGGTCTACAGAGTGAGTTCTAGGACAGCCAGGGAGGGCTATACAGAGAAACCCTGTCTCGAAAAACTAAAACTAAAAACAAACAAAAAAACAAAAACAGAGCCTGAACTTTGCTCATATGTGAATGTGGCTTGTCTCTGGCTTCATTGATTTTATAAGTAAGGTTAACATAGGTCACATGTTTACCATTTTTAATATCTTATTTTTATTTATTTTTTTGAGACAAGGTCTCATTCTGAAGCATGTGCTGTCCTAAAACTCACTATATTGCCCAAGTTGGTCTCAACTCATGGCAATCCTTCTGCCTCAGCCTTTCAACCACTGGATTGCCCTCTATAAATGTTCATCTTCCAATTAGTTAGTGTACTGTGTTAAGAGAAGAATGGCTACCTAATGCGTTTCCAAGTGACAACAGTTGGCCCCAAATAATCTTAACATGATACAGAAGCTTTTACACTGAAAACAATGAGAATCTAACAGGAGCTAATTCTTGGTTTTTGAATACACTGCTGCTGCTGTTAGAATACAGTGTGCTCTCTGATGGGGGCTACAGACATCTACCACCAAAGCCAACACCATATGCTGATTTGGAGCACAAGGAAAAGCAGCCAAAGTGGGCTCCGCGACAAGATCTGTCAGCAGAGACTAACAGTAATAGTCTTGTGTGTGAGAATTTCTGCCAAGGCCCTACTTTGTTGTAGCCAAATTCTAAATTGGCCCCAAGATCCACCATATACACATACCTCCCAGTTATTCAAACATTAATCTAGATCAGCGGTTCTCAAGTTGTGGGTCACAATCCCTCTTGGATCAAGTGACCCATTTCACAGAGGTCACTTAAGACCATTAGAAAACAAATATTTACATTACAATTCATAACAGTAGCAAAATTAGTTATGAAGTAGCAACAAAATAATTTTATAGTTGGGGTCAGCACAACACGAGCTGTAGTCAAGGGCTGCAGCCTCAGGAGGTTGAGAATTGCCAGGCTAGATACTTTATGAAGGGATCTGACAAATGGAATTGAGGTCCCATGTCAGTGTACTCTTGAGATAAGATCAAGGTGGACTTTACCTAGTCACAAGATCTGGAGGCCCAAACCAGAAGTCCAAGGTCTAGGCATGAGCAGGGTCTGGCACATGGCAGACTTCGCAGATGGAAGCCGGAGCCAAGAGGGAAATACAGGTGGCTCCTAGAGCTGACTGACAACAGGGGCTGGCAGCCAGTGAGGAAGCAAAAATATCTCTCTTCCTACAGCTGCAGAGAACTCTGCTCCACCAACAAACTCAAGGAGTTTGGGAATGGATTACTCCCCAGGGACTCCAGGAAGGCCACAGCCAGCACTTGTGACCTTTGGGGCAGTAAGCTACTAAATGGCTGCCATTGTGATCACTTCTAATCAAGGTGGTTTGTAACGGCACTGTAGAGAACTGGTTCCCTGTCCCTGTCCAAGGGGAAAGCAGACAAACCTCTTCAGGTATGTCTAACTACCCCATGAACGAAGGCAAATTATGTGTGGTGGCTTAGCGGTCTGGACTTTAAATGTTCTCCTGAATTCCACGTGTTCACAGCCTATGGTGTGATTAGGAAGTGTGGAACTTCTAGAGCTGAGGCCTGCTGGGAAGAAGTTAGACCACTGAAGGGAATTGTGAAACCTTGTCTCCTGATTCTTTGCCTTTTTATAAACACAAAATCCAGGGTTTCACTTTGTAACCCTAGCCAGCCTGGAACTCACTGTGTAGACCAGGCTGGCCTCAAGCTCACAGATCTGTCTGTCTCTGTCTCCCAAGTGCTGGGATTAAAGGTGTGCTCCTCCTTCTTTGCTTCTTGGCCACCATAAAATGAACAAGACTTGTCTGCTGTGCGAGATACTCCCTGGCATAGGACCAGGGAACTGGGACCAGGCAACCACTGGCTGAAGGCATGGGAGCCATGAGCCAACACAAACCTCCCTCCTTCAGATGCCTTTCGTCACAGCCATGGAAGGCTGACTCACAACTTGGAAAGAAGTCCCCACATGAGGTCTGTGAGTCCTAGGGAGAAAGTCTCAGTGAGGAGGGCTGGAGTGCTGCTTGCCTCTGTGAGCTGCTGGCACAGCTGCTCCTCAGTGAGGCCCAGCGACCTCATCCCCCGGGCCCGGCATGCAGACTGTAGTTCTGACACACTTAAAGCCTTCACCCCTTCTTTGGCAATTATCTGCAACAAGTGTAAGGGACAGTGTTAGATCCTTGGTTTTCAATTTTACTTAATCCCTATATTCCATAGAACTGATAGAAACCCCAACTCTGATGCTTTGGCCCTCTGTCCCTGCACTGATTGCTGTAACCCTGCCACTTGAGAAGGTTGACATGAAGGGGTACCACTAACAGACGGCCATAAAAGATAGTTAAAGAACTGCTCCCAGCATTCTGTCAGTAAAGTATTTCCTATCTTGGTTTGGAGTTCATCTAGTTGTAACATCTACTTTTCCTTTTAATTTTAAGGGCCGTTAGAAAAAAAAAACCTGTTGTGAAAAGATTCCTGATCCCATTGGCTGAGTGTCTCAGTGCCGTTTCCCATACCGCCCACCACCCAGAAACAGCCACAGAACCACCAATAAATAACAAGTTCTCCATGGTGTGGTCCAAAACTATGGTTCTTCTGGGACCAGGATTGTTCATATCAAAGTTCTGAAAGCAACATCCAAAATCAAAAAGGGCCACAATGCTTATGTCTTCTTTGTCTTGGGTAACAGCTCCCCTAATTAGAATACTACAGCAGCTGAATGAGATTCAGGAAAGTCTTTCCATGTTTTAAAGGAGCCTAATTAGTAGTTACAGTCCAAATGGTGCCTTCTGCAAGATAGCCAGACCTTGGTTTTCCTCCTAGCGTTGTGTTCTGCCACCTTCTTTTCACCAGACCAACTCACCCAGTAGAATCTTTACTTTGGCACCAGTTCCTCTGTAGGAGAACAATGTGTGTGTGTGTGTGTGTGTGTGTGTGTGTGTGTGTGTGTGATGAGAGTAGGTACTGCCAAGAATCTCCTGAGCTGGTATTTCCTTCTCAGCAGGTCCTAACTACTTTAGATTATTCCCAGCTAATACATCCACCTTACTGGCTGCTTACAATGACCTTCTCAAGATACAACAAACTCATACGGAAGTAAGTAGTAAAAGTTGAAGTTGTCATAGAAATAGTTTCTTAAACCATTCACTTTGCTGGATGGCTCTATGGCAGACCCAACAGAAATCGATGCAGTTAGCTAAGGTGCCCTCCAGTGCCTCCCAGATGCCCACTGCTGTGGCTGTGCTCTTACTTCATCATCTGCTTTTATAGACTTCAGTGTCATCAGGAGCTGGAAGCGGAGCAAATTGTTTGTCCCGAAGGCCTGCAATTCTAGCAGCTTACACAGGGCAACCAGCTGGGGTCGGTCTAAGTGTTCCAGGGCTAACTGATCCTCGAAGAGTTTGGAGAAGCGAACTATCTCCTTAGTGGAGGGCTTGTGACCTGTTTGGACCTAGGCAATGGGACAAAGGCCAATTAAAATCTATCTCTTACTGAACCAAACCTCAATAGATTATTTGAAAAATAATAAATTAATTATTAATTATTAATTAATAAATTAATAAGTTAGAGACTTTATGTGCTGTATAGAAATGGATCCAGTGGCTCACGGGGGATAAACAGTGTAGAGTTGCAGATTGGTGGGAGACTTGCCTTGCATGTGTGTGGGCTCAATGCCTAGTCTAAACCCCCACCCCCTGTAAATCTTTCTAGAATCCAACTTAGTCACTAGAAAAATCAGCAGTATTTTTAAAGTTTGTGCTGATTTCTTTTCAGATGATTACTTTAAGGTGGCTTTATTTTCTTTAATTGCAAACTACCCTAAATGTTTAAATATTACTTATTTATAATTTAGAGACGAGGCACTTCAAAGATTCTGAACAATCTGGATGATCCCTGATGACATGGTTTTTGGTAACTCCAGCCCAGACGTCGCTGGCCCGGGACGAGCCCCTCATACCTGTTTCACATAGGAGAAAAGCTGTGAAGAAGCATCTCCCAACTTGGCTCGGTTTCTCCTCGCCATCTCTGTCATTGTTTCTTGAAGGAATTTTGCTATTTCCAATTTGGCAGCCATCGTCTTTTTCTGTTTTTCTTCCTTAATAGAAGAGGAAAAAGTTAATCATGACTGTGGGTTCGTAATGAGGAAAATAAGTCCCTCCTCGCTAATGTTCATCCCCGCAACTCACAGTGGAGTAACATTACTAGCAGGCCTGATTAAGTAAGCTTGTCAGAGCCAGGCCACTTTGAAGGAGCTTCTCTTTGACTTGTCTCCTTTATCTTGCATTTATTTCTCACTAATACCATGACGATAAGCCTCAGTGAGAGGCTCTGTTATTAGATGAGTTACTACCTCCCAACCTCATCTAGGCTGCTACTTAAGCTGAACTCTGGTGCATAGCCCCAGATTCCGTACTACAAAGAATACTCAGACACTAACTCTATGCTCATCAACCTTACAGTCTAAATCAAAAGTATATAATTATAATATAGTGTTATGTGCTATACTACATTTGAAAAAAAAAAGCACTAGACAGAAGAGAATTAAATATACATTCTCTGAGATAGGGTATCTCTATAGATCCTTGGCTGTCCTAGAACTTGCTATATAGTCCAGGCTGAGCTCAAACTAAGACTCACCTGCCTCTGCCTCCTGAGTTTGGCAACACACCTGATTAAATGTGCATTCTTAAGACACTGTTGACTAATAGTTGATGACTCTCATTCATCATCAGAAATGATTGATAGGCAGTGGTAGAATTTTGAAATAATCACGGTCAATATGCTGGGTCACAGGGTAGAGAGGAGCAGGTAGTTAAGCCACTCCCCTGGTCTACCATCTTCCTGGATTCAAGAACATCTGCATTGGAATGCTGTGGGGTGTTTCTAGACCCTGATTGTTTTAAATGTTAAGTAAACTAAGGCCTGTAATTCTAACAGCTTGCAAAGGGCACCCATCCAGAGTTTAAGTAAATCAAACCAGCTTCAGGCAGTTAAACACTATAGTTTGATTTTTCCACTTTAATCTCAAATTACAGTCTAGGAGTATAGATCAGTGGTAAGAGCTGGCCAAGCATGCACAAGGCCCTGGGTTCTATTCTTAACATCACTGAAAGAAAAAAGGAGCCAGATGTGGTGGCATACACTTTTAATCCCAGTATGCAGGGGGCAGAGGCAGGTAGATCTCTGTGAGTTCAAAGCAAGCCTGGTCTACATAAGGAGTTCAAGGCTAGCCAGGGTTGCATAGAGAAAGACCCTGTCTTAAACAAAAGCAAGCACAAAACAGAAAAGAATAAAGAAACTTCTTCTCAGATCTGTCTTCCATCTTTCATTTCATTGTCAACCTCATGATTAAGACCCTGCTTCCTTCCTTCTCTTGGCTCTGTCCCCTTCAGTCTTTCTACCAGCAAAATTAGTTTCCTAAAATACAGATTTGATCATGCCACCCACTGTTTAAACTGTTTATAAAGTTTTAGCTTCTAGGGCTGGAGCGATGGCTCAGTGGTTAAGAGCACTGACTGCTCTTCCAGAGGTCCTGAGTTCAGTTCCCAGCACCCACATGGTGGCTGACGACATCTGTAACGGGATAGACGCCCTCTTCCGGGGTGTCTGTAACGGGATAGACGCCCTCTTCCGGGGTGTCTGTAACGGGATAGATGCCCTCTTCCGGGGTGTCTGAAGACAGTGTTACTCACATACATGTAAAGTTTTAGCTTCTATTATTTACTATCATCAAGTTTGAACTCCTTAGAGTGGGTGATGCTTTCCAACCTGCCGTCCTTTTGTCTGTCTCCTTGACCAGCCTGCTCCCAGACTTGCAGACTGTGGTAAAATTTCACCTACTCACTGAACCTCAGCTCCAAAAGTCTTTCCGCACAACCGTTTCTCTCTCGTGTTTCAGACAGTATCTCCCACTTACTAAGTGGGAGATGATGTCATTGTCCCTTGGAGAACTTGGCTCCCATCCGTATGACGTTGTCTAGCAGAGACAGAGTGGCGATGGGGAGGAGCTTCTCTTCTAGCCCACCCCCTCTGTGGTCACCAAGGCACCGTCCCTGTACTCCTCACAGGCACTGAGCTCGGTTTGGCTGAATAGAACATAACTTGTGCTCATTAACAAGAGTAACAGTAGATGTTTGTTTACCTTATTATTATTATTATTCTAAATAAACCTTTAATTCTTATTTTATATGTATGAATATTTTGCCTGCATGTATGCCTGTACACAGGAGCCAGAATGCACTGGATCCTGTGGAACTGGAGTTACACATGGTTGAGCCACCATGTTGGATGCTGGGAATTGAACCTGATTCTGCAAGCTCTTAAACTCTGAGCCATCTCTTCAGCTCCTTCATTCTTTTTTATTTTTTGGAACTCACTATGTAGAGTAGGTTGACCTTGAACTCATAGATCCTTCCTTTTTTCTTTCCTTTCCTCTCTCTGTCCCCCTTTCCCCTGCCCTCTCCTTCTCCTTCCCAACCCCCTCCTCCTTCTCCCCTGACCTATCCCTCCAGCAGTTAAAATAACAGTAGAGAGGCTGGAGCATAATCGTGTACACTTTGAATGCCAGCACTTGTGAGGCAGAGGCAGGCAGACCTCAGTGAATTACAGGACAGCCTGCTCTACATAGTGAGTTCCAGGACAGCCAGAGTTACATAGTGAGACCCTGTTTCAACAAACAAACAAATATATAATAAAATATAGTAGAGGTAGGACATTTAATAAACAATAATATAAAACTAGATATAAAATCGTGATACTGATATTATAAACTTTCATAAAAACAAACTGGATTATATACTAGAAGATGCAATATAAAACTTTAAGAATTCTAGAAAAAAATAGTAGAATCATCTAATTTGGGGCTGATGAAACAGCTCCACCAACTTCCAGAGGACCCAGGTTCAGTTCCTGGCACCTACATTATCCTCTATAACTCTAATTCCAGGAGGCCCAACGCCCTCTTCTGGCCTCCTCAGGTATTAGGCATGTATGTGATACACAGACACATATGTAGATCAAACACCCACACACATAAAATGTAAGTGACCTTGAGTTTGTTAACCAACTTCTATTTGTAACTCCAAAGACATGGTCACTTTAAGTGTTTGTCCTATGAAAAGATGAACCATGGGAGATGGGATGTGTGAGATCCATTCACAGTAATGAAAAAATAAAAATAAAAAAATAAAGAAGCTAATTCCATTTCTAGGAATGGGGAAAAAATAAAAGGCACAGACTGGAGAAAATATTTACAAAGTATATATTTGATAAAGGACTGGTACACAAATACAGAAAGAACTCAAAACATCCAGGCAGTGGCCCATGCCTTTAATCCCAGCTCTTGGGAAGCAGAGGCAGAAGAATCTCTTGAGTTCAAAGCAGCCTAGTCTACAGATCAAGTTCTCAGGGCTACACAGAGAAACCCTATTTCAAAAAAACCCAAGGAACTAACCAACCAACCAACCAACCAACCAACCAACGACCCCAAAAGAACAAGAAACCAAGAACACCCAATTACAAAGGGCACAAAGGCTGTGGAGATAGCTCAGTAGGCAAGGTGCTCACTCACACAGAAATAGGAACTAGAGTTCTACTTGCTTGTAGTCCTATTCTGTGGGACACAGGAACAACTGAGAAGCTACACTAGCCAAATCAGCAAGCCGTGGACTTAGAGGAGAGACACTACTAAATATATAGAAGGTGGGGAGCTTGTATATATAAATCAGAACCCTATATAAGGTACACATGCATGACCACTCATATACATGTACACCACATACTCTCTCTCTCTTTCACACACATGTGCACACACACACACACACACACACACACACACACTGCTGGGCAAAATAAACATACACCTCCACAAAGAAGTTACAGAGATGCCAAAGCAGCTAACCAATACACACCAATTAGAATGGCTAATGTCCAAAGTCTATCAGATGCCGGGAAAGACAGGGAACAGCATTCTTAGGTGGAACGCAAAATGCATGGCTGCTCTGGAAGACAGCAAACTCTTACAATGCTAGATGTAGTCCTACTGTGTGCAACCACTCTTGCTCAAGTTAAAAAAGAAAAAACCTGAACACAAATATTCATAGCATTTTATTCAACACTGCCCAAATTAGAAGCAACCAATTTCCAAAAGATGACTTATTTAAAAAAAAAAAACCAACTTGTCTATCCATAAATAGAACTAGTAAAGTCATATCTTTTCAGGGAAGAACTTCAGTTGTTTTTTTTTTTTTTTAGTTTTTTTCTTTTTTTTTTCTTTTTTTTTTTTTTTGCATTGGATCCCCTAAAAGTGGAGAGGTACACATGGTTGTGAGCCACCATGTGGGTGCTAGAAACTGAATCAAGTTCCTCTGTCAACAGTAGTAATTCTCTTAAGCACTGAGCCATCTCTCTAGTCCCTCATGGGAGAACTGTAATTGCATATGGCTTAGTGGAAGAATTCAGTCTGAAAAGTGTGTGATTCCAATTGCATGGCATTCTGGGAAAGACAAAACTAGAGTGAAACATCTGTAGTTACCGGACTGAAGGGAAACACCGTAGACATAAACAAGCACAAGACATGTTGGTTTTAGAACAGTGAGACTAATCCACTGACCCTGTGACTCAGAGCTGAAACTTGCGAACCACAGAGTGAACCCCATTGTCAGCTATGTGCTTCCATTAATAACAGTGTGTAATGTATTAGCATTAGTCACTCAGTTATACCATGTACCACACTGATGCAAGTTCTTACTAATAGGAAACCCATGGGGTGTGAGAGGTAGATAAGTGGAATATGGCAACTCTATTTTCTGCCCAGTTTTCCTGTGAACCTATATAACTGCTCTAAAAACTAAAGTCTATTTTTTTTTTTTTTAAAAAAAAGCTTTAAAATCCTGTATACCTTTTTGGATTCACTTTCAAAAGTTGATGGCAACATGTCTGGGAAGAGCTTCAGAAACACTGGTATCAAGAATTCCATAAAAGGTACAATTATGAACACCATAAACGGGACCAAGCGGAAGACATCAGCACATGTTCTCAACAGCTGAAGAGACAAATGCACAAGCAGCGTTACATATGCAGGACATGCCCCAGCCGAAGCACACAAGACCCACCACCAAGACAAAGCCTGCCTCTCTCTCAGAGTGTGTGAACACTAAGGTCTTCCACAGCTAGAAAGGTGGAGTTTTCTCTTCAACGTAGCTCTCAAGCGCCATATATGGGTTATCCTCAAAGAAACTTATGACAATCCATATGCATTAATGACATCTCTTAAGGGCCCACATTCTTATAAAACACTGTATTAATTAACATTACTTTTTCCTTTTTGAGATGAGGGGTTTACTATGTTGCTCAGGCTGATCTTGAACTCCTGGGCTCAACTGATGCTCCTACCTCAGTGTTCCCAGTACCTATGATTAACAGTATGTTCTATTGCATTTGGTTTAAAAATGTGCATATGTACTTAATGTATTACCACATATATATTAGATGGGGGAGCTGAGACAGGGCTTCTCTGTGTAGCCCTGGTTGACCTGGAACTCATTCTGTAGACCAGGCTGGCATTGCGCTGCCTCTGCTTCTGAGTACAGGGATTAAAGGTACGTGCCACTACTCCCCGGCTTATATTTTTGATATAGAAAACATGAAACCTTTCAAGTCCTTGAAAAGATTAAAAACACAATTATAGGGTTGGAGAGACAGCTCAGAAGTTACAAGCACTTGCTGCTCTTCCAGAGGACAGAGTTCAGTTCCCAGCACCCACGTCAGGAGGCTTACAATGGTCTGTAACTCCAGCTCCAGGAGATCAGATGCCTCTGGCTTCTGCAGACAGATGCCTACACTCACATGCACGCACCCACATGCAGTCACACACACTTGTACATAATTTAAAACAATAAAAATAAATCCTAAAAACCTCACAATTTTAACAATTCTGTAGGCAGATATATAAAAATGTAAGAATTTCAGCCAGGTTAAAAGAAGTAAAATCAGAATGAAACAGGTTCTCTGGGTCTGGGAGGATACATACATAGATCCTGCTAGAGCCCCTGCTTAGATGCTCAGGACTCTGGGTCCAACCCCTGCATGGCGTGAAGTTTTGGCTTCTGATCAGTAGTTAGGATTTCTACGTTAGGAGTGTGGAAAGAGCTCTCCATCAGCCTCAGGGCCTATGCTAAGGAAGTTACTTAAGGATTTTTAAGATGGAGTTTTCGTTTTTATTTCCCATTTCAAATAGGTTTCTTGCCTACCCTTCGCCTCTCTCGTCTGCTTAGCGCCTGTCCATGCAGCAGCCTCCAAACTATTCTGGCAGCGACTTTGGTGTCAATCCAAAGTAAACTGAATCCATTGTAATAGTACTTAAGTTCGTCTATGATTTTTTGTCTCAAGGACCGCTTTTCTTCTGTAATCTCTGTCTCGGCTTCTTTGGTAGGCTGAGGGCTTGTCACCTTTGGCTTGCCTGTTTGCTCCAGCTGAGGTTTACCGGCGGCATTTTGTAGCCAGCATGTCGTGTGCAGTTTTTGTGAGAGTCTAGTTCGTAGTGGATGGACTTTATTACTGCCTGTTAGACTGGGATAGGAGTACTTCCTGCTTCCACAGTTTTTCATGTAGGTTGTACGTAAGTGAGAATCTGGCAAGTGGAAAAATGCAAGTGGTGGGAAGTGAGAGCAGGGAGGGTACACAGAATGGCTAGGCAATCTGGAAAAGAAGGATAACACTCTCTCAGTGAGATGTATTACTACAAACAACAACAAAAGGATACTTTATCCGGTTAAAACAAGACAAGAAGGCTATAAGCAACTGATGTTTATTAATGAATGAAATACAAGTGTGTGTGTGTGTGTGTGCTTGTATGTTGCTGGGCATCAATGTGCGCTCTCCCACTTACATTATACTGGGAACCAAAGCCAAAAACAGTAGTTCACACACGCTAGGCAAGTGTTCAGCTGCTGAGCTGTACCTCTACACTAAAAATTAACTTCTTAAACAGCTCAACTGTGCTCAATCATTGAACATATTCTTATGAAAAATATTAGTAAGTTAATTCTGAAGAGTAATTTGTTATAGCAAGTTATATAAGTTCTGAAACTATTAATTTAAACATCTAGGGGCCAGTGAGATGAAAGTTCAAGGGTGTAAAGGCACTTGCTGTCAACCCCTGGTTAAATCCTTGGGATCCGGATGGTAGAAGGATAGAACTGACTCCACAAGATGTCCTGTGATCTCCAAAAGGGTGCCAGGGGCATGTTCTTTTGAGTTATTAAGTAACAAAAAAGATTTAAAATATCTTATTAGAAAAAAATATCTAAAAAATATCTATTCAAAAACATATTTCTGTCAGGGATGATGGCTGACAGTACTGTCTTACTTTCATAAAGCAGCTGAAGATCTGAACTGTTAGCTACTCTACTAATAACCAAGAATATTTTGATGAAACAACTTCATAGTCCCTGTGAGGATTAACCAATCAGGTGATACTGCTTTGTCTGTATGTCTATGGATTCCCTCAAAGTGATGAAACAAAATTCCCCTGAAATTTCTCAGGAGCCTTTAAAAATAGGAATTAGAACTGAAACCTCAACCAATGGTTTTTATATTCTGATATTAAACTAGAACATAAGATCTTAAAACTACAACACATCTAAGTAGAGAGAGCAACAGGCAGCTAATCAGAGTGGCAGACATCTTTAAATTCAGCAGCATTCAGGAGCAGAGGCAGGCCACCTTGGTCTACTGAGTGAGTTCTAGGACAGATACAAAGTGAGACCATGTCTCATAAAAAAAACAACAAAAGCCCAAAACAAACAAAAGAAAGGGGGGGGGATTGTTCTTGGCTAAAGGATGGCTTTTCCCAATTCTTTAATATTATTTTTGAAACATATCAATATATATTCTATAAATGGCCAAAAGGAAAAATATGTAATAAATGTGGCAGGTGGAGAGTGTTCAGTTACTATTCCTCTGAATGCATAAGTGAGATGACAAGGGACCTTAGACCAGAACATGTCCTGGGCTGAGCTTGTTCAGGAGCCATTTTAGTCTTCTATATACCTGAGATCCTCGTGTAATCTTTATCAATAACAGAAACACTACTCTGAAACTGTTTTATCTATTTTTCCTCTATCATTTATTTATAAAATTAGTCAGCTTACATTCTTAAGCAGTTCAAATTAAAATATGTTCTTCCTTAAAATGTATTGAGAACTCAGCAAGGTTTTGTGTACTAAGTCAATCCTTTTGATTTGTTAGTTACTTTTTTTCTTATCTTTCTTTTCTTCCCCCCTCCCCCTTTTTTTTGGAGACAGGGTCTCACTATGTAGCCCAGGCTGGCCTTGAACTCAGAGACCACCCTTCTTCTGCCTCCTGAGTGCTGGGACTAAAGGCATTCATCACGTCAGGCCAGAAACCAATCCTTTTACAACACATATTTTTCCATATAGATGCATGAGTTTATATACATTTCTGTGGGAAATTCCAAGCCTTACCTTGTCCAGAAAATAGCTAAGAATGAATTATAACTGGAGAAGGCCATATTTATTTTTTTGTTTCAACTAACCAACACAGAGACCTAGGCAAAAGAAGCAAACAATTTAGTATTTTAAAAAAGCGTCAATTAAACACCAGAATTTAGGTGTGTGTTTTTTTAAACTAATGCAAGAGTGGAAATTTGCATATTCAAGGTGTAAAATTCCGTTCAGGTTCATTTCCAACAGCCTCAGTATTTTCTTAGCTCTGGATTTGAAAATAGTACTTTTTCGATCCCAACACACAGAAATGGGTTCTAAGAAGATGATCGTGAAGACGATATGACCTCCAAAGGCTTTTTTTTTTTTATTTCTGGTCAACAGTGTCTTATAATCTGCTGCGACGGTTAAAAGAAGAAAGACATCTTTATCTGTAACCAGAAAATACAAGTAGAAAGTAAACATCCTGGATTCATTTACCGCCAACCCAAAAGTTTAAAAAGTTCTTACTAATTTCATGTGTCAACAGCGAAGACGTAATGGTACCTACTAATGGCTCAAGTGCAGATGCAAACGGATCCCATCCTAGGATTGCTGAATCTCTAGAGTCCGAACTTAGCTCTGTACCTTTAACCAAAACCGTTCTCCACCCCGAGCCGCTCTTCAGCTACGGGCATAACTCTGCTACCTCGCAATCGTGCCGGAAGGAGGTTCCCCCACGCCCCACCAGCCAGCCCGTGGAAACCTCAGCTTCAAAAGCTAACATCGAGAACCGGGCTCAGCACCTCAGAAACCAGCCCCACCGCGGACGGCGCTCCTCCGGAGGGGGGCCGGGCCTGCTGCGGAGGCTCCCCAGCCCTCGGCCCTGGGCCACTCCCAGGCAGTCGGCCTGGCGTTTCGGGGAACCCCACGCCCAGCGCTGCGGGGTTACCTCTGCACCCTGCGCTCGCCGCACCGCACCGGTGCAAAAGGCGCCCTCGGCTCTCGGCCGGTGGCCTCGGCGGAATGTGGGGAGGACTGTGGTGGGTATGGGGATTGTTGGAAGGGGGTTAGGTACACCGTAGGGAGAATGTCCGAAGTTTAGGGGAAAGGTCGGGGGCTGACGGGAGACGCCGAGGGAGCCCGAGTCCGCTGCGAGATGACTAAGGCCCCAAACCCTACCTTCCCAATTCCTCCCCGCCCCCACGCTAGAGGGGCCGGAAACCCAGTCTCCATGGTTCCACCTCCTGTGCCTCGCCCTGTGACGTCACTCCGAGTGACGCCACTGCCATCCAATGAGCTCTCGAATCCTGGGAAGGGCGCGCGTCCTTCACGGTAGTCGCGCGGAAGGCAGTAAGGTCCCCGCACGAGCCCGCGAAGTCATTTCTGGGTTGGAGTTAGTTTAGGCAGCGTCTGTACTATAGGAACAAACCTGCGTTTCCCCCTGCCTACCCACATTCTGTAGTCTGGCCAACTCCCCGAGAGCTCCTTGAGGTCTGACAGTCGCCTTTGTAACTCATCTTGGAGTCGCTAATGACATCGATTTGATGTTCCCGATCCTCACCCTTCAAACTCCGAAACTGCCTCGAGATCTCCGGTTGGCGGAGGAGGTTGTGGAGTCCTGGTGGCAGAAGAGGCAGGATTGAGAGAAAACACCTTTCTTCTGCGGAGTCTTAAAGCTGGAATGCTTCTGAAATCTTGATACGGAATTTGATTTTCTCTAAAAAAAAAATTAGTTTCATGTCGTAGCTTATCATTAGTTGTGTAGAAATCTCAACATTCAAAATATATTCTAGAGTACTTGTTAAAAAAGATAGGCATTGCGGGTTTGAGGCGATGTCAGTTCCTAGGGCGGGCAACTAAGCCGTCTTTTGGAAAGTTAAAGTTCTGAAAGCATTCCTGTTCCTATTTATTTATCCGGCTTTAAATTTTTTTCAATTTCTATTTAGTTTTTGAGACTCTTATGTAACACGGGCTGGTCTGGAACTCAATAGGTAGTTGCAGAAAGTGGTTTTGAACTCTTGAATCTCCTGCCTGCCTTCCCAGCGTTTGGATTACAAGTGTGCACCACTACAACCAATTTTGGCTCTTGATAGATTTTTGTTTTTATATTTATTATCTATCTATCTATCTATCTATCTATCTATCTATCTGGAGACAGAGTTTCACTATGTAGGCCTGGCTGGTCTGGAACTCAGAGATTCACTTGCCTGGTCCTCTAAATTGCTCAGATTTAAAAGCCTGTACCTCCATGCCCGGCTCGAGCTTTCTTCAACCTTCCCCTTTGAGAACTCTGATGATAAAATTATGAGCTGTACAAAATAGAATAAGTTTTGAGGGCTGGGCGTGGTAGTGCATGTCTTTTATCCTGGTACCTAATAGACAGACTGGCAGATCTCTGTGAGCTCAAGGTCACGCTGGCCTACAAAGTGAGTTCCAAGAGAGCCAGGGCTACACAGTGGGATCCTGTTTCAAAAGAACCAAAAAAGAAAAGAAAAAAGAAATGGAGGCCGTTTTTAATCCAAAAAAAAAAAAAAAAAAAAAAATTCAACTAACCGAATGGATTACTTAAAATAAGCAAAACTTTTCAGTTTGGCCGCTAGGGGTCCCTTTGTGCATGCCAGGCAATTTTCCACTAAGGGTTAGTTTCACAGTCTGATCATTAAGAATTGAAATTTACAAAACTTACCGCCTCCTTCCCTGCCTCGAGATAGGGTCTCACTATGTAGCCCTGCCTGGCCTGGAACTCACTGTGTAGACCAGGCTAGCCTCGAACTCACTGAGATCTTCCTGGTTCCTGATTAAAGAAGTGCACTATTTCCAGGCTAACGTTTTCCTCTCCTTGTTTTCTCTCCCTGAAAATTCTAAGCTCTACAATAATTATTTTAATATTGCTTTTTTTAAAAAAAAATAACATTCTTATCATTTTACAATGAGATTTCTTAGACTGGAAAAAATTTTTTATTCACTTACAAACAGGTACAGTAAAATTTATTAAACATAAGCCAGATGAAGTATCCCATACTCAATATTTAAAACATAAAGTAGATTTTCTAGTATAGTCACAAGTTAACAATTCAATTCTTTTTAAAAAGGGAGGGATAAGACCTCTTATGAAATCCAACTGTTTAAAGCAATGAATACTCTCACCAGGCTTGACAATTTGGTGTTTAGGATAAATTGAAAATATATATATATATATTTTTTTTTCAGAAGGGAAGCCATTGAGAATTTTTCCACCATAACTTGGAGAAACCTATTCTGTTTCTGTCTCAATAAGCTGCTCGCTCATTTGCCATTGAAAAGAGTAAAAATGTTTTGAAACTCAGAGTATGTTAGATGATGAAAACAAAGTGTTATATGTCCCCATTTTCCTAAATAAAACCTCTAAGGACATTTATGAACTCTTAAATGGGAAATCCAAATGGCTGATCAAAAAAGCAAGAGCGATTCAGGAGGTGGAAAGCGGGAAGGTTGGGGCAGGATCATGGTTTGCTCATGTCACTCCCTTGATCACCTTTCTCATTTTATAAATTTGCCTGCTTGTGAAAGCAATTATGGCTCCTTGAAGTTGTAGTAATACAAAAAGATTAGGTCTAAATTAGTGAAAAGACTGGTCTAAGCCGGGCAGTGGTAGCGCATGTCTTTAATCCCAGCACTTGGCAGGCAGAGGCAGGCGGATTTCTGAGTTCGAGGCCAGCCTGGTCTACAAAGTGACTTCCAGGACAGCCAGAGCTATACAGAGAAATCCTGTCTCGAAAACAAACAAACAAACAAACAAACAAACAAAAGACTGGTCTAGTAGTCCCAGCCTGTATTCTCATTGAGTGGGTAAACTGAGGAAGGAGGATTGCTGGATCCAGTTGTAGCATGGATGACATAGCAAGCCCCATTTCAAAATAAATGAGTAAACTTAAATAGAAAATGGTTACGGATTAGCTGGGAGTGGTAGTTTATGCTTATAATCCAAATATTCTGGAGGCTGAGGCTGGACAATTGTCATTAGTTCAAGACCAGCCTGGGTTTAACAAGACTTTACAGATGAACAGCAGAGTGGGCTAAAGAGGTAGCTTGCCTGAAAAGGTGCTTGCAGTGACGCCGATGACTGGAGTTCAAGCCCTGTAGCATGGTAGAAGTCTGGAACTAGCTTCCACAAGCACTCCTCTGATATTCACACACACACAAAATAACAGAAAAATCAATACTATTGGCCCCCTGCATGGTGGCACACACCTTAATTAGAGCCCTTGGCAGGCAGAGGTAGAAACTATATTAGGTTGAGGACAACCTGGTCTTCACAGAAAGTTCCTCAACAGCCAGGAACTCTGTCTCAGAAAAAAAAAAAAAAATCTGGTCGATTGTGGTGCATGTCTATGATCAAAGCACTAGGGAGGCAGAGACAGGTGAATCTCTGAGTTTGAGGCCAGCCTAGTCTACAAAGGGAATTCCAGGACATCCAGTACTGTTACACAGAGAAACTCTGTCTCCAAAAACCAAATAGAAAATATAATAATAATAATATCAATGCAATTATTCTCATGATCACCCTTAGTATGAGTGCCCATTAAAATCAGCGAACTGTAGAGATTTTTCTAATATTTTGAGATAGATCAATGGTTAAAAGCACTTGTTCTTACAGAGGACAAGGTTTGATTCCTAGCACTCACCCAAGAGGTTGCTCACAACCAATGGTAACACTAGTTCCAGTTGATCTGACACCTTTTTTGACCTTCTTGGGGACACGGCATGCACAAGGCGCACAGATATATGTGAGCAAAACACTCATGAGCATAAAATTATAAAACCTTAAAAACACACTTCTGAGGTAGTATTTGAAACACAGTGGAATTTCTCGTAATGGTTGCAAATAGCTCAAGTACTGTAGTCTCTACCGAGAGGAGGATGACACTTTGTAGTGACAGGGTTTCGCAATTCTCAGAACAGAAAGCAAGAGTGTATCAGTTTCCTCATTTGATCGCTACGTCTGTTTCCTTTGCAAGTTCACGTCTCTGGGTCGGACTTTCTAAGTAATTACCACCAGGTCCCAAGAAACGACATCTGCACACCCCTTCAAGACTGTTTACCCGGCCCTGTCATTGTATTACTCGTATTTCCTAGAACGGGGAGGGCTAGGGGTTTGCAGAGGACTGCCTCCTTCCTCTCACTCTCCGGTGATCGCTCTGGGATAAATTCCCCCACGTCACTCGGTGCGGAGGTCTGGCCCGGAGCAGCGCAGGGCCGGGGCACGTGACCCGCCCGCAGTCCTCGCTGTGGCCCGCGGCCCGGGATGCAGTCGCGCTGACGTCCTCCTGGTTACCCACAAGCCTCTGTACCCCGGTGCGGGCAGGAAGAGGGCAACCGGGTCCAGTGCCTGCCCGGGAGGTCGTGGTGCCTTTTGTGCCGGACGCGGACTCTGCCCGGCACCCCCCGTGCTTGCAACTACCCGTCTCTCACGGTGGCAGAGAGGGAGACTGCCCCGGCTCAGGCTCTCGTCCTAAGGTGCTGCCCCGTGTCTGGGACGCGGGGGCCAGAGTGCTCTGCTGACAGCTGTCAGGCTGTCTGTGACTCCCGAGCCTCGGCACTCCCCGGTCTGCGTCATCGCGTACCGGTCATTAGGCTCTTCCTAACATCTAGGAATTGTAGAGCAGGGCCACTTGAGTACCATATGGCGTCTAGTACGTGCTGCCGTTTAGTAAGTATTAGCCTCGCAGGCCCGACCTGGCTGCCCCTCCGCACCAGCCCTTCCTGTCCCTCTGCCTCATCGCCTGCGGTCTCGCGTCTGCTCCAGACTCTCGCGCGCCCCTCCTCTCCGCGGCTGACGAGCCTCTTCCTCCTTCACTCTCAGCGCCGGGTCCCGGACTGCATTTCCCGGCAGGCGCCGCGGCCTGTGACCAATGGGAGACCTAGGATTTGGCGGCGGCGGCGCCGAACGGGGCGGGGGGGGGCTTTGTGCGCGGAGGCGGCGGCGGCGGCGGCGGCGGCGACGGCGGCGGGAGCTGGCGGCGCGGAGATCCGGACGGAGGCCGGGGCTGGGTGCCGGGCGCCTGGGAGAGGTGTGCAGCTTTCGACCAGAGCCCTGGGACCCCGCTGCCCTTCGGGGCCGCCAGCCTCCGGCTCCTCTCCGGCACCAGCTTCTACGCGGCGACCCCCGTCCGGCCGCCTCCCCTTCGTTCCCCGTCGCCCGCAGCCTTCCGTCTGCCCGCAAACGAGCCCGGCCGGCCGGGCCGTGGCCCTTCTCAGTGCCGGCCGCCATGGCAGGGGTGCTCGGCGCGGGGGAAATCTAGTCCGAGGATTTCATGAGGCCTAGCTCGGTTCCGTCTCCTGCGCCCGCGGTCCTGGCAGCTGCCGGCAACCCAGCCCCACTTTGGGCCTCCGTGTCTCTCCTGTGATCGTACTGACACGGCAGGGGGGTTAGAATGGAACAAACTGAAGGTAAAGTGCTTGTGTATGTGTGTGTTGCGCGTCAGGGCTGAGGAGGCTTTTTGGGGTGGGGGCGACCTAAGACCCTGGCACCCGTAAGGAGTGAGACCCTGGAAGAGAAGGGGCCACGGATGGCCTGAAAGGGTTCGAGGAAGGAAGAGCAGATGGTAAGGTGGGTGTGGAAGGAATTGGGAGGTGGGGCAGGTAGGCTTGGGATATGATGTAGTGGTGCTGAGCTGGGAATTGGGAGTAGAGGTGGGATGGGGGCGGGGATAAGGATGGAACCGGGGGAGGGGTAGGAAAAAGAGTTAGATTTGGACATTAGAGACCTAATGCAAATTAGGGTAGGTCTGGAATGGAGTGTGGAAACTAGAAGAGTTGGGGAAAAGAGATAGGGTTGATGGAGGAGCGAGGCATCTTCTGGCAATCAAGGGGAGAAACTAGTGAATCAAAGTGGAGGAAAAGATAAGATTAGGAAATAGGGGTGAAAAATGATTGTGTCAGGATGCAAGAGGAGGAGAGGAAATAGACGCAGGAAACTGAAAGACATACGATTGGGCTAGGGAGGGACATTAGCTGAGTGTTGGAAGGGACGAGAATTATCGACCAGGCGTCAGAGTGTGAGGAAAAGAAGGATGGGGATTATTGAAGTGTTAGAAAGGAAAGCCTTTTGTTCCTATATTTGTGTGTATTCTGTCTTGTATTTCAAGGCTAGAGAAATAGAGAAGCTCGTGGTTCTGGGGTTGTGATCGTTGTGAAATGAGGGAGGTGTGGGTGTTACTGTTCTGAGGGAAGAGGAGATGTGTTTGTGTTATGGTAGGGAGGCAGGGAAAGACATGGCCATAATTTGATGGTTTTGGTGAGGGAGTAAAGACTATTCAGATTTAAAGGGGGCAGGGGCAGCCATGTTTGCTACCAGGCACTGCAGTGTAAATAAATTCCTTTTCCTCTCCGACATCTGCGTGAATCTGGAACCGACAGTTCACATTGCTACACCCCCCTCCCCCCCCGCTTTCTATTCATGAACTTCTCTTACCTCTTGGGTCATTTACAATTACTCATAACCACGGAAGGACGCGGCGGTGTTTCCCATCTTGTGTATTTTGCTGCCTCTTCCTTTCTTTCCCCTTTTCTTTCTGGTTGCAAAAAAAGGCACACTGATAAATTGCAGTGTAAAATTTCACTCTTTTTATAAATTTAAAGTTAGATATTTTTAAACTAACCGAAGAAATGCTTGCTATCATATTTCAAGCTTGATTGTGAAAAGTCTTTAATATTGATTGGTTTCCAACACCTCGGAAGCAAGTCAACATGTTTTTTTTTTTTCCAATTCTTTAAGTAAACAAGGAAATTGCATTGGTTATTTTACTTGAGGCGCTCTTAGAAAGGGGTGGGGAAGATCCGCCTGTTGTAGATCATCTGCTTACTGGATTTAGAATTTTGGAAAATTAGAAATGTTCCTGGTGATACGCATGTTGTTATGAATAATGCTTTTTTATTAGCTTTTTTTTTTCATCTCTTCCCTTTGCTTTCATGTAGCTAGTTCAGTACAGTCTCCAAATGCCAGTTCAGCACTGTGATCTGTGAAATAGGCATGTAATCTTTAGATCCTCACTGAGTTGCCAGCTTTTTGGGGGGTGGGTGGAGGGGAAGTTCTGTCACTCTCAGGAAAGCTCCAGTAATTCTTTTCTTTAATGCATTGAAATGTAACTCCTTGTATGATCTGAATTTAGACTCAGGGTCTAAGTCCTGACAAAGTAGATATACACTGGTATTGGGTGAAATCCATATTCTATTCATATTGAAGAGGATTCAGTATGTACCTTACTTGAAATAATTGTAATTGTGGTAAATCCAAACTTTAGCCCTGTGTTAGTATTGAAACTGGTTTCTAACACCAGCAAGTCCTGCTAACTAAACAGTGGGCTTGGTCCACTTGTGCTACATACAAATCTTAATAGTAATGTTCTCTCAGTTTTTCTAGAGTTTGGTGGGAAAAAATTTAATGTTGTTGAAGTAGTACTTTCTGGGATTAGACTTGGAATAAATGTCAGATTTATAACTTGGCGTATTTTGGTTGATAATGTATAGCCTGAAAAAAAATTTTCTTTAATTCTAAAGATACGTTTCATTCAAAGTCATTCAGCATGTACTTGGAATTTATCTATTTTGATAGAGATTTTTATTTGTATTGATGTTTGTAATTAGTAGACTTACTTGCACAAACTGTCAGTGCCATCACTTTTAGGAAAATGAGCAACTGTATATTACAACAGAGAGTGTCTGTTTGGAAGCCCGAATGAGCGTTCTGTCTGGGTTCCTTGGACAGGTATCCGTCCAGTGAGGAAGGCTACTGTATTTATCAAACATCTGAAATGCAAATCTGCTGTGATCACTACTGTGCTCATCATCTGCCCACGTGGTACTTAAAAACAGTTTTTTAAAATTTTCATTTTTGTGTATGAGTGGTTTTTTCCTGTCTGTCTGTCTGACTGTCTGTCTGTGTAACTCCTTGCATGCCTGGTGTCTATGGAGGTTAGAAGAGGGCATCAGGTACCCTGAAATGGGAATTATGGATTGTTGTGAGCTGCCATATGGGTACTGGGAATTGAACCTGGGTCCTCTGGAAGAGCAAACAGTGCTTTTAACCACTGAGCTGTCTCTCTGATCCTGATACCTTTTTTAAAACTTTATTGAGACAGGGTCTCATATATCCCATGCTGTCCTCAAGCTTTCAGTATAGCTGAGGCTGACCTTGAACTTCTGATCTTCTACCCATCTCCTGAGCATGCTGATATAGCCATGAGCTAGCATGCCTGGTTTATGGAGTGCTGGGAGTCCCACCTAGGGACCAACTAAACTTCATCCCTCTTCCTACTTTTTTTTTTTTTTTTTTTTGAGTGACAAGTTAACAGATGGTCTCGTAATGATTAGATTAAAAGAGTTTCAAATGAAGAAAGCTGATTACCCACAAAATTGGTTATTTTTGGCCCAACTGTCCGAAGTGACTCTAAAGACAATAGTTTCCGGAATTTTAAATAATAATCACAATGTAAAGTAACAGCTAATAGCTATCCTCTTGTAGTGTACTATACTAAGTGTCCTGAATGTATGATTTCTTTTTTTTTTTTAATCTTCCCAACAGTTTCCTGAGAATCTACTTTTAACTGCATTTTGCAAATGAAGAAACAAGTTAGATAACATTGCAAATGTTATTAAATATTTAAATAACAAAGCTGGTATTTGAGTGTAGGTCTTTTAAATTATAGAACCCAGAGAAGCAAGCTGTTTCTGTTAGCTTCTAATATAACATAAAAATATCACATGTTTGTTATTTTAAAATATTTCAAAAGATTAGTGTCCCCAGTTACCAGTTTAGCTAGTTAGAAGTGTCCTCAAAAGTTTCTGTGGATTTACTTAGCATACATAGAATGGGCTTACACTAATTCTAGAACCCAGATCTATACTGAACTAAACCTTGGCCTTTCTTATTTTATTTTGAGTTACTGTCTTCCTACTTGAGTCTTCCATGTGTCTGAGATTCTGTGTATACAGCCCTGACTAGTGTTTTGTTTTACTTAGCAGGCATGTGGACCTTTAATTTTTATTTGAGAGGTAGAATACTACCACTTAAACTAACCCTTTTGTTTGTTTATTTTTGTTTTTTGTTTTTGAGGCGGAGTCTTTATTAAGTAGCTCTGGCTGGGCCTCAAACACAGCAACACTTGCCTCTGCCTCCTGAGTGCTGTGATGGATTAAAGGTGTGCACCATCAGGTCCAGCTAAATTAACTTTTTTTTTTTTTTTGCTTGCTGTTATGAGAATGACATTGACTACATTCCTAACAGTTTGTTTGAATGGAACATAAATGCTTCAACTTTCCTTATTTTACAGGAGAAAAAAACCTGAGGTCTGTAGAAGTTAAGTACAAGCAAAGCTTTGGTGCCAAATTGGCAAACTGGTGACTTAGGTCTCAAGACCACATTACTTTACTTCCTTACTGTGAAAGTATTTGAGCTGTTCTTTCAAGCTCCAGGTGAGAGGGATGTGCTGAGGTCAGGCAGCATGGGTGTACCAAGTTCCAGGGAATTGCAGTGAGGCAAGCTTAGGTGTTTTTCATTGTCTGACAAGTAGCATATGGACAGTGTTTTTATGTGTAACTAGATTATATCCAGCCTATCTTGAAGTCTGTGTTTTGTGTAATGGAGTAGCTGTTGGCAGAATTTTCCCCCTTGTAATAAAATTGTCAGTGAAATAGTTAGCAATGAGGGAAAAAAAATCAGGAACCCAGTCCTGGCCCCAAAGTAAAACTGAGACACTGGTCAAATTTTCTTTGTTTTTGTTTTTAATGAGCTGAAAAATACCTAATTAAAGACAAGAGTTTTAAAAACATCTCAGGCTGGACATGGTGGTTCTTGCTTTTAATCCCAGTCCTCTGGAGGTGGAGGTGGGTGGATTTCTGTGAGTTTGAGGACAGCCAGGGCTATATAAAGAGACCCTGTCTCAAAATAAAATAAAAAGTAAAAAATCTCAGGAGACACTGTTGATTTATTTTAATTATTTTTTCCTATCAAAAAAAAAAATAGGTGACCAAAATTTCATATTAAATGATTCACTTGAACTCACTGTGTAGCCCAGGCCAGCATACCTAACTCATGACTGTCTCTACCCTAGCCTCTCATTTGCTAGCATTACAGTTTTGTACCACTATGCCAAATTTACTGAGTCTCTTAAAACAAAAAGACAGTCTCATTCATTGTAGACACAAAAGAAATTAAAATTATTATTTTTAATTTTGGGGGGATTTTAATTTTTCTGTGTTTGAGCATTTGCCTGAGTGTATGTCTATGCACCCTGTGTGTGCAGTGCCCATGGAGGATAAATGGTGTTGGGTGTCTTGGGACTGGAGTTACAAACAGTTGTTAGTTGCCATGTAAGTGCTGGGAACTGAACCAGGTCCTCTGTTTCAGCAGCTACTGTCTCAACTGCTGAGCCATCTTTTCAGCCTGGATT